ACCTCTCCCCTCCCGCCCCCTCCCTTTCCTCTTGCGGTAAATACTTGTCGTACACTTGCCGTACACTTGTCCCATACCTGCGGTTCCCATCCACAGGGCTGGCTCTTCAACGTCTACCTGACCGACATTGCCCCGGGCAACCCCCTCGCCCGCCGGGTCTGCATCGCCACGTGCACCACCGCCGACCAGCACAAGCAGCTGCTCGTGCCGCCGCCGCCAGCCGCCCGACTTCGCCCCGCCTCCGCTTCCCCCTCCTCCTCCGCCGCCACCGCCACCGCCACCGCCGCCGCCACGCACCCCTCGCGCAGCAACTCCACTGCGCCGCGGCCGTCGACGGCCTCGCCGCGGCCGCTGCGGCTGCTGCCCTCCACCCCCCTGATTAGCCCCGCCGAGCTCCTCCCCTGGATCAGTCGGCCCGAGCAACTGTTTGGACACTGGCTGAGACTCGAAGCCTTCGCTATTGCCCCCGTGGCGGATAAAGTGGTGGACGGCATGATTTACATGGGCCAACTGGATGATAACAACAACAACAATGGCGGCGGCATGGCGCAGCCGCCGCAACCCAAGATCAGCAACCTGCATGTGGTGGAGATTAGGCCGGCAGCAGCAGCGGCGGCGGCTCACGCCGCCGCCGCCGCCGCCGGCAGCAGCACCAGTACGTCCTCAACGAGGCCTTTGTCAGCAGCAGCCGCCACGCGCGCGTCGTCATCATTGCCTCCATCCGTTTCTCCTTGCCCCGCTCCGTCGCCGTCGTCGCCGTCGCCGTCCCCGCAGTCGCCTTCGTCGTCCACATTCACATCCGCGGCGGCGGCGGCGACGACGACGACGACAATGTTGGCGGCGGCGCTGGGACGTCAGGTGTCAGGTGCGGGCAGTGCGGCGGCGGCGCAAGCGAGGCTGGCGGCGGCGGTGGCGCTGTCCGGGGGTCGCCAGCAGCGGCCGCAGAGCGCGCCTCGAGCCCGCCTGAGCTGAGCTGAGCTGAGTGGTGGATTCACACGCGCACATACACACACACACACGCGCGCGCGCCGGAATGATGACAACAACGACGAAGACGAAGACGATGAAGAAGACGAAGACGAAGAAGGAGAAGGAGGAGGAGAAGCGAGCTGCCGTCTCCGCTCCCAGGCACTCCAGGATATGTGAGGGAGCGTGGGACAACGACCAACCGAACGAACGAGAACATCGTCATTGTCACGGTGAAGGAGCTTTTCGCGTTCCAAAAAAAAGGATTTCGTCCGGCGGTATACTTGACGGCCGGAGTATGAGTTGCGTGGGATGATGACGGTACACCTCGGGGGCCTCGTGCCTCCGTTTGGCGTGTGTGTTATATCCTGGTGCTGTGCTACTGCTGCTAGTGCTGCTACTGCTGCTACTGCTGGTGCTACTGCTGCTAGTGCGGCTGGTGCTACTGCTGCTACTGCGGCTGGTGCTACTGCTGCTAGTGCGGCTGGTGCTACTGCGGCTGGTGCTACTGCTGCTACTGCGGCTGGTCCTAGTGCTGGTGCTACTGCTGCTACTGCGGCTGGTCCTAGTGCTGCTGGTGTTGGTGCGGCTGGTGCTGTATAAGTATGTATGTATGTGATGAAGCAGGAGAGGTCGAGAGCAGTCCGTGACGGCGGTCCACGTGTCGAGGGGCGCACGTGTGTGCAGTAGCGGTGGGGTGAGGGGCGGAGGGTAAGGCCCCGACGGTACCATGGAGGCTCATGGGGGCCTGGTAATGTCATTTAGGCGGCGCACACACATACACGCTGCTGTATGGCACCGCGTATGTATGTATGTCAGCCCAGCATAAAGTCCGCGCTAGTAATAAACCCCCTTCCCCTCTCTCCCCCTCCCTATCCCCCTCCCCCTCCCCCTCTCTCCTAGAACGTTTTCCGCACTTTACCGCTCCTCAGCCTCCTCCCCACTTCCCTCCCCACTGCCCCACACCTCCTCAGCCAGTCCCTTCGCGCCGTGACACCGCGTGAACTTGCCAGCCTCGCTTTGCAGTCTCCAGCCTTGTCGCGCAACATGCCGTGTTGCGGTAGTAGCTGTGATGCCCTTTAAGCCATTATCGTCATGATCAATGGTTTGCCCTTTCCTTCCCTCTCCGGGAGGGAAGAGGGGTGAGGAGGTAGGGGTTTGAGCTGTTGGCGGAGGTGGCGGAGCTGACGGGTTGACACCTCCGGGTACATGTCGTGTGCGTGTATGTGTGTATGTATGTATGCGCACGTGTGTGTGTGGGAGAGAGAGGGGGGGGAGAGGAAGGGGGGCCCTCTGAAGGGCCGTCCCGGGTGCGGGTGCGGGTGCGGGTGCTGATTGTGCGTGTATATTGATGGCGGCATAGTGGGTTGCTTTTGTCCCACGCGGGCCGTGGGGCCGTGGTGCTGCAACGGCTGGCATGGTGGGGGTGGGGTTTGGGGTGGGATGGGGTGATGCGGAACGAATAACGTCCTGTAGAGTTTGGGGGTGTTTGCGTATAAGACGGATGAGTCTCCAGTCGGCATCTTTTTGGGGGGCTATTTTTCGGCTGGGTTAATCACACCTGTTGCCGCAGTTGCAGTTGCAGTGTAGTACTGCGTTTTTTCCAACGGCAGGGCTGTGCTGCGCTCTGGAATGTTATACACGCTCTGCCAGTAGAATGGCGATAAGTTGGCGCGCTTATGGTGGGTGCTGCTTTTGCTGCTTGCTACTGCTGCTTTTGCTGCTGCAACTGGTTTTGCTGCGGGGCCGATTGATTGACGGTCGGTTGGGTGGTGGCGGCGCCCTTCCCCTCTCCCGCATCCGTGTCACACAGCTCGGTGCCATCGCTGCTGGTGTAGCTCAGGGCCAGGAATGGAGGGAACGGAGGTTGCTGTTGTTGTTGTTGTTGGTGGTGGTGGTGCTGGTGGTGGTGTAGGGGGAAACGGAATGGGCCTGATACACATTCGACATTCGACGAGTAACGCCAAGACTCCGAAATGGTACGGTACGCCAAATTTAGTTGTGTGCATGTGTGTGTGCATGTGTGTCAGAGAGAGAGTGCGTGTATGTATGTATGTATGTATGTATGTATGTATGTATGTATGTGTGTGTTTTAATGATACTGGCTACGGATAGGAACTGGCCATATGATATGTACGGCACAGCAGCGAGCCACGAGTGCTCCTAAATACATGTATGCAAGTAATCTGTACATCTATATTTATCTAGGTATGTGTACATATATATAATCGCACGGCTATACTCGCGTGGTGCGGCGGCGGCGGCCTGTGTCCCAAAGTTTAATTTCTGCTCCTTGTCCTCCTCCTTGGTTATAACTGCTTATGCCGTACATGCACGGATGCAGCGCAGCATCTCGGGGCTATTGGTACGTCGCCAAGTATATACCGTACTGCACTGTAAAAGGAGCTGGAGGCGGGTGGGCAGGGCGGACGGGTGTCGGGGGGGGGGGACTTCTGAAGGGGTTCTTGGAAGTCTTAAGGGAAGGGGAGGCTGGTGGGACGTCTACAAAACGTTCTTCCCCCTGGGGGTTCTACTGGGAGATGAAAAAGGGGGGAGGGGGGAAGTAACGGACGTCACACGCCGCCTTTTCGCGCTTTCCAAAACTACCAGAAAGCACCCTGTGCCGTACAGGAACAAACCACGTAACGCGCGTCCTTCCGAGGTGGTGGTGGGTTTGCTCAATATCGCACATCGCGGTGTGATGGAGAGATGATTGACTCTGGGAGCCGGGGTTGGGAGAGGCCTTCCTTGAGATGGCACTTTCGATTTCTCGATTCCAATTTCGCCAAAAGACCCGAATGTTTCTAAGTACCATCAGCCTGGCCTAGGAAGGGAAGGCCGGGGTCAGTCAGCCAGTACTGACAAGAAATGATCCTAAAAGGTTAATATTGACAACTGAGTCGATTCCGAAATGTGCGGGCAAAATGTGCGGGCGGTTTCGGAGGAGTGGGCAACGTGTTAAGAGGTTGGATGCATCCTTTCAATAAGGAGCTGTACTCCACCATGGAGGGGTCGGGTCGGGCCAGCCAGCCGGGGGGCGTTGGCATGCACGGTGGCTGTGAAATACACATGCAAAATGCAAAAAGAACACGGTGGCGATGCGGTGGTGATCCTACGGACCCCCACCCCCCTCACGCCCTTTCACCCGACCCGGCCCGAGCCATGTCTGCGGCCTCCCTTCTCCGGCACGCCCCGCTTCCGTTCCTGTTTCCATCCCCACCCGATGGATAGATAACTGAGGGAAGCGGGAGAAAGGAATGGAGATGAGGGTTTTTTAAGAATGTCTGAAATTGAACCCTCGTCAAAGTCCGTGCGGCTGAGGGGATCATAGACAACGTAAGAATGTTTCGGAAAGGAAGTTTAAGCAGGATTTTGCTAAAAAGAAAAGTAAGCGAGGCCTCAGTAACATGCTATTCGAGGCTGGCTGGCGGATGAACTAGGCAAAGTCTCCGTTGGTCAAACTGGTCAAAGCACGAGTGAGGCGTAAAACGGACGGTTTGCGTATCGGAACCGATTATTAATTCCTTTTCAGGTCCGTTATTGAGGTTAATTAACTTAATATTGGTCGCAAGTACCGGAAGGAGGGGGCATGAAAGCCGGGCGCCGGTCATTCAGTTTGCGCGGGTGCTTTGTTTCTCACCCGCCAGCTGCAGCGTAAATTGATGATATGTAGAATTCACAACTGGATGTCCATCTGAAGTCGTTCTTCAAGCAAAGTGGAATGTATGGGTGCTGTCCTTGCGTACCGGCGACAGACCCGACCGAATTCCGCACAAGAGGAGTTCCTTTACACAGACTGCAATAGTTGTATGTTTCAATTTTGACAACTTTTGTCGACTTCAAAGGGGTTTTAGGGAGTGGCCATTACGGTACCTGCCAGCATCAAGTCCCTTTTGTACCGGAAAGGCAAATCCGTTGCACAACCCAATTGCATATATAAACGCGACCCACTGCAATTGTTAGCATAAAGGACATTCAATTGTCTTGGCCAATACATATGACGTCCTATAAATTGTGCTTGTAATTAATTTCCTTGCTACCTCTTTGCTTACGAAATAAATTGTCCCGACAATGAGGCTGCTATTCTGTACTCTTGCCACCGTTGCACTAATTCTGGGCAATTATGCACATGCTGCTCAACGTGACCCTCGGACTGATGAAGATATCCTTCCAGGTGCGTCGCTTCTTGCCCGCGGGGTTGGCATGAAAGCAGTTGCGTAACGTAACCTGCGCTTTCTCTTCGCTACAGGATGGATGGGCACTGATTTTAAGCCCGACGTTCTTCAACCTGATGTTTTGGCCATGAGAACCAGCCGCATGAAGGTAAGCCCTCTTCGATAACTGTCGGACATGTGTGCCAGTCTCTTCTAAAAGTTGCCGCTTACCCCTTCGTAAAGGTGCTTGATGCTGATGCAAGGATTTTCCTCTACGAGCACTTCCTTACGGACGGTGAGTCTTGGATGTCCCGACGTTCCGCATCGGGTCGGCTTCCAGAGAGTCGGGGCCCCTTGTGCAGTCCTGGATGAGCACAACCCAAAATTCTACTGCCCAACGACGACATATAGGAAAATTCGTTGCGTCCAAAGGTTACCAGAAGGCTATCGTAAGATGGCTCTAATTGGTTGCCCACCATCGTATTACCTAAACCTCGCGCCCGTCAGCATCCGTACTAAATTTTTGCATGACCCATCTAATCTTTGCAGAGGAGGCCGACCACATTGTGAAGGTTTCTGAAAGGCGCCTGGAGCGCTCCGGTGTCGTGGGCGGAGATGGCGGTAGCGAGACGTCCAACATCCGCACCTCTTATGGCGTGTTCCTGGATCGCGGCGAGGATGAAATTGTGAAACGGGTGGAGGAGCGCATCGCCGCCTGGACGCTGATGCCAGTCGGCAACGGCGAGGGTCTCCAAGTGCTGCGATACCAGAAGGAGCAGAAGTACGATGCCCACGTAAGAGCGGCTTCATTTTCCCCCCTCCCCTCAAGCACTTGACTCCACCCTTCCCCCTGGACGCCCTCCTCACCACTCAGACCACCTCGACCCCGCTGACCTGCTGACCCTCTGCTCAGCTTTATAATAACCCATTTGACTGCATGAACAGCCAACCGACACAACACCCTAACACCAAAAAGGGGTTTAGAATGGGATTTACCAGAAGCAGGAGCTACAACAATTGCCAGTTTTGTAAAGCTGCATTTCGTGTTTATTTGATAACGTGTTGTAACATGATGGGCCGCCATCTGCCATCCTTTCCTATGTGATATGCATGTGATATGTATCCTCTCCCCGCAAACCCCCCTAACCGCGCAGTGGGACTACTTTTTTCACAAGGACGGCATCACCAACGGTGGTAACCGCTACGCTACCGTGTTGATGTACCTGGTGGACACGGAGGTGGGGTTGCGGGAGAGGAGCGGGGAAGAGGGGGGAGAGGAGGGGAGGGGAAAGAGGGGGAGGGAAAAGCGGGGGAGGTGATCATTGCGAGGGTGGCGGGCCCGCGTGGCGCTCCGAGTGGAAATGGATGGGGGGATGGGATGCTGTTCAAACAGGGAAGGATGGAGGATGGAGGATCAAGGGGGGAAAGAAAATGTCTGGGGAAGTCAAATCACGAGTGCCCGAGTGAAGCTGAAGCTGATGCCAAGGAGGGAGTGCGGGGTAGGAGGGAGGGAGGGAGGGAGGGACCACCAGGTTTAGGAGGAAAAACACTTTTGGGTGTCACGAGCAACCGCGAGCATGATAAATAAATTTTAATATAAACTCCTGGAAATCCCAAATTACTCCAAAACGCAGGAAGGTGGCGAGACTGTGTTTCCCAACGTCGCCGCCCCCGGGGGGGAGAACGTTGGCTTCTCGGAGTGCGCCCGCTACCACCTCGCTGCCAAGCCTAAAAAGGGCACCGCCATCCTCTTCCACTCGATCAAGCCGACGGGTGAGCTGGAGCGCAAGTCCCTGCACACCGCCTGCCCTGTTATTCGCGGCATCAAGTGGTCGGCGGCGAAGTGGATTCACGTGGGCCATTACGCCATGGGGGGCGAGCACGCCGAAACCATCGAGCAACACCCACAGCCCAAGGTTAAGCCACAGGACCTGCCCCCGGGCTGCGAGGACTCTGACGAGATGTGTCCGGAGTGGGCGGATGCGGGCGAGTGCGAGCGCAATGCCTCGTTCATGGTTGGCAGCAGGGCACGCCCCGGCAAGTGTGTGGCTTCTTGCAAGCGGTGCGATTTGGTGGTGGACACGGGCGCAGAGGGCACGCAGGAACAGTGGAAGAAGGCGAACAGCGCGAGCAGGCGTAGCTTGGGCAAGATTTAAGGAGCTTCGAGGTGATGAGCTTGCGATGTCGGTTGCTTTGTTTTCTGTATTGTATTGGACTGCATGTGATAAGCGAGGTGTACTGGATTTTTGGATCTTGGGATTGCAGGTCTCTGGATCTTGTTTCAATTTCATGACTCGGTGCAGAGTCTGAAAGAGGATAGGGGTTTGGAGCTTACCTCGCCAAGGGGTTGTGGGTTATGGCAGTTTTTATTGGGACTTGTAGGAGTGACGAGAAGCGAAGTGGTGGTGGGTGATGGTGAGGTGCATCGCATCATTAGTTGCGCGCATTGCGGGTTTGGTAGTTGGCGAAAAGCAACGTTGTCGAGGGCGGGGATTGTGTCGAAAGCTGCGAACAGGAACAGTGTGTGGCAAATCTCTTTTTTCTTTTCGGAGGTTTTGGGAGTTGGTGGCTGGACCTTGGTGCCGAATTTGGTTTTCGATAAAATAAAGAATAAATAAGAAGCATCACTGACATGGGCGCTTGGCAACAATGGTTGACTGGGGCTTTGGCTGATGGGGCTTTACACACCGCTTCATTTAAAAGAAGAGAAAGGGAACGGGCGAAAGTGGTTGCGTGGGAACCAATAAAGCAGCTTTTGAGTGTTACTGATCACCGACCGTTGGTGGCCGTTGGTAGTTTTTTTGGTTATGTGTCAACTGTCTTCAGTCGGCAGGGCGGCTTTGATGTACCTCGTTGATTTTGTTTATCTTGTGGTTTGGGGTATCTATTTCTTGTCTATCTGTCGGGGGGTGTCCTGGAGACCAAGGCAAGGATGTTGTGCGGCGGCTGCTGCTGCACCAACAGGCTGCGTGGTTGAATCCACAGGGGGGGGGGAGGGGAGTTTGGCTCCTGGGGGGGAGCGAGCAGCTTCGTCACATCGCTCAACACTGAGACAAGCGAGCGCGTGCACGCACTCGGAAAGTACGAACAGACAGACAAACAGACGCGTGCAGCAGCAGCAGCATATCTTTTCTGTTGCGTGAGCTCGGGACTGCGGGGCATTCTCGCGGCCTGTCAGTTATATCTTGGCGGCGGCGCGGCCGAACCGTGTTTGGGAGGATTTTTTTGTACGACGACAGCTGTGTTTCGCCTTTCCTCGTTATTGAATAACGGTTGAGCCCTACTAGGAGTCAAAGCGGAAATGAAGTTATATAATATATACGGCGTGCACCCTGACGATGTGGTATAGTAGTTGTGATGCTCTTAGTATATGCGGTTTAGTCCACAGCGGTCCGTAGTGTAGGTGACCCGTAGGTGAATGGGTGGTGGATGTTGGTTGATTATGGATGTTGGAAGAACTACGGGATCGCGAATTGCGCGAATTGCGTATTGCGCTCCATCAGTTCCAGAGTTGTAGATTTCTGATTACCATCTTGCCTTGCCGCGCTGAAATTCAAAGGTATATATCGACTTGGGGCGTCCTAAACAAGACATTGAAAATGCGATATGTTTCTCCCCCCTTTACTCTCCGTCCTCACTCCCACCGCCAGGCATGGAGGTTGTCTAGGGGGTAAATACTGTGATTGTGTGTCCGCGTGTGTGTGTATGTATATGTGTATGTGTATGTGTGCGTGCTTTAAAAGACGTTGTTAAGCTGCTTGGGGAAGTACTTATCTTGTATTCTTTGCATTGGAGCACATACCACACAATGCATCGATATGCCACCGCTGATGCCACCAACATGAACCAATTGACGAGATTGACGGGCGTTTTTGCATGCGGGCGGTCATCTGGCAATTGACTGGATTTACGCGTCTAAACCATCCCCTCTCTTTGCTGGTGCTGCTGCTGGTGCTGCTATTGAAGTTGATGCATGCACGTATTACTGTGAGGAGTTCACTGGGGGGCCGCGGAGTAATATCGCCCAACAATCAGCCATGTGTAGCTTTAAGGTGTACGCGGCTTCGCAGCGAGTGCCGCAACAGAGAGATGAGTTTGAAACACCCAAGTACCACATTTAATCGGGATGTGTGGATGGTGAGGGGAATCGAACCCTACGATAGCGAGAACGTGCGTATGCTGAGATTGTAATGCTGCTGAGTCTCCACCGAGTTATCATTACTCGAAATAAAGAGTGTAGAGATACTATTGCCGTACATAGAATCCCTTTAGATACGATACACATACGGCCCTTTCGCCTTGGTAGCCAGGCTGCTCCGAAAGCTCTAGATCGTACTTTGTAGGTTGTAGCAGCCTAGCGAGCCATCATGAGACAAATGTTGCTGCAGCCGGAAGCAAATAACCTTTCGCCGGGTGGGGGGTTGAGTGGTTTAATTGAGGCGATTCCTCCCTCCCTAAGACACAAGTTTATGCCAGCTGAAGTCTTAAGCAGGCTCAGGAGGCGGAGTGATGCGAGTAACCTTGCGGAGGGGCCCTTCGAGGCATGCTTAAAGGACAGAGCGGTGCAGCTTCAGATAACTTTCATGCGACAAATTGTGGGAGCTGCGAGACCAACACATCGCCTCCTGTTTGCCGAACTGTCGCAGCTACCCCTACACTACCACGTTTTCAAACAGGTCGTGAGGTTTTGAAACCGTGTCCGTTTACAGCGTGGGTCTGTGGCACACCAAGTTTAGCGACAGGAGGTCGCAGAGTCCCTCTCCAACCCCTAAGGGGCCGGGGTGGGGAACACTACTCCTCCGTTTTCTATGTTTTTTGGGGCACGACGTATGGAAAGAGGCCCCGCAAGGGCTACACAAGGTAGACGAACGAGTGGAGTGGCTGATGAACAGGCCAATGCCAGAAGGTGTGGTTCTGGAGTTCAAGGACCGATTGGTGAGTGGTTGGAAGCATGCGCGTCTAGATGTCCAGCCAGCCGTGTATCCGTGTACCTAGTGCTCAAAGTAATGCCCAAGTCGTACAGTCAAGAAGGCCTTTGGGACCGATGGCCGATCGAAATGGCTGAAGAATTCACGTACCCCCCCCCGTACCCGTGGTGGATGGCTTTCGTTACAGCAGCATGAACTGAAGAGTAACGCAACTTGGCGTTCCTCCGGGGGGAGGGGGGAAGAGGGTAATCACACACATAACACACCACATACCAGGGTTCCTTCAGGACAACAGGACATCGCCATTGAGTATGGGGAGGCCTTTCCCCACTGGGCGGTTCCCAACTGACACGTGCACGCTGTCCTTGTGGTGCAACATCCTCCAATCAACATACTTTTCCCCTCCCCCGAATCCCCCCCCCACATACATACATACATTCATACATCCAATACCACTGGGCCCCCTCTTAACCCCAGCTCCTGCTCCCCTGACTACCACCGCCAACCAGCTATATCATGTATATGCTCACCCCAACCAGCTCAACCCGCCGACACATCCAGATCCACATCACGCCTTCGCTCGCAGTCATCAGCCCCAGTGGGGGGGGTGCCCCCAAGGCAACCAGATGACGATCCCTTTTACCCACACCGGAACGGCTGTCACGCTCACCGCCTCCGTCAGTAGGTCAAGCACATGTACACACACACACACACACGCGCGCGCGCGTGTGTCCACAACCCTTTCCTAACCAAGGGTGAGGAAGGGGAGGTCCTGTGTTTCCCCCCTTGTTGGGTTGAGAGCCCCCGGAGGCCGCACATGAAAACCACAAGGAGGACAGATCACAACACCGTCAGCCGCCCAAAAGGCAATACTTTGCCACAGCTGCCACAGCTGCATGCCTCACCTCACATCTTGAAAACTGAGTTCACCAATTTGTCAAAAAAACGCTCATTTTAGAACCAGCAGCAGCAATTCAATGCCCGCGAGATGGGCACAGTCTTGTACACAACACCGCCCAACATTAGGAGAGGCTCCCGTCCAACAAATGAATTACAACTTGGCGCCAAAACAGACCCAAGCAAACCAAACCGAACGCAAATCAATCACGCACGCATTTGTCACAACACTGTGTCTGTTGGCTGAAGCGCAGCAGCAGCAGCAGCAAGGGCAACGGCATGCTGCTGGCAACCACGACCGGAAGCCTCTCCTCTTCCCGGGTAGAGCTCTCCCCTAAAACCCCCAAAGGAAAGCCGCAAAGCGCTTTTTCCCGCGTTGTGGAATCGCACTGCGTTGCTTTGGTGGTGATACTTCGGCGGCAAGCCAGTTATTTTTTACCACCGGGTGACACAGCCTCAGAGAGCTCTCGGAGCTCGTTCGAACCCGGATGGGACAACTGCCTAAGAAGGCGCTGATCCGCTCACCGGGACCGGGTTGAGGGCGAACAGTGCTCGGGAGCTCCCGTCGCAGTGTACGATGTATCGCACGGACGGTTGCACAGAAACGGTGTACGTACGATGTGCGGGTGTCTATGTGTGTGTGTGTTTCTGTGTGTGTGCGTGTGTGTGCAATTTTGTGTTTGGCTTAAGGTCCCCAGCCTTAACTTATATTATAACTTATATCATGTGCGGGTCGGTCACGAGTACACAGGACTAACAGCAAGGGGCCCTCTATGCAGGGTGTGGTGCATTGACGACATGACAACAAGAACAACGACAATGACAACAAAAGCGTTTCATCAGTGCTGCTGCAAATCCCCCTTCATCGCCCTTCCCTCCAAAAGCCGCTGCCTTTCTGTCCCGCCTCCCTGCGGGACGAAAACAGTTCACGGCTTCGGAGTTCCTCAGGTTTATCTTCCCCCTCCATGTCTATCTTCACTCCTCCCTCTCCCCCCCCTCCCGCCCGCCCATATGCCTCTCCGACACGCAAGTTGCAAGTCCCCAGATCGAGTCTCCGGAGCCGGCCCCTACAGGAGGGGCCCAACGCCTAGCAGCTGCCCCCCAACCACTACGTCCCTAAGATCCCTACCCGACCGCAAGCCAACCCCTTGTAAGAATACAAAGACAAGCCACACACACACAAGCCACACACAACACCTAGCAGCTAGGAACACCCAGTTGGTTGGGGGACAGAACGACTCTTTCGCGACCGCTGCGCCGCCAAGCCCGCAGGAGAGCCAGCCAACCAACCAACCAACCAACCAAACCCCAAAGGCCAGGAGGCCCTCGGGGGCCCAGACCCACCTGGCTGCTAGTGCTAGGCGGTACGACACCGCCAGGGTATTTAGGAGGTCTAAACCCCTGGTACGGACATACTCGCAGCAGCAGCAGCAGCAGCACCAATACCGGACAGCGGCCGCAGGAGTGGGGGTCTGTTTCTTCCTACGGCAAAATGCCGCTGTCATACCGTACGGCAGGTACGAACGTGTGGACGCCTTTTCATACGCGGATAAAATGCCTGTTTATAGCTATATAGTCATTTCAGCTGTTGTTGAACTCGGCAAAGCCAGGGCAATTGTTCCAAGGCTCTTGATCAAAGCCAACAACCCAGACGCCCTCCGCTCGCATGCCGGCCAGCATTCCGTAGAAACCCTTCATCACGTGCTTGTCGTAAAACTCAGTGAGCTGGTCCTTAACGGGGGGTGACAGCTTCAAACCGGGCAGAGACGGCATTCCGACCTTACGCCACACCACCTCGGAAGCGGCAAGCGTTCGCTCCTCAGCTGACATCGGCCGGCCGTACATAAAGCGGATGACCTACAGGTATGCAGTACGACAACCCGGGGGCGACGAGAGTGACGGGGTTTTTAAAATTTGCAACAATCAAAAGCAACCGCGCGCCATCCATCCCACGTATTGTGAATGGGTCCCCGTGGGTGGGACCAAATCTCATTTTCGCGGCCTGGAAATTTTGGCTGGATGTTGGGTGATGTTGGCTTTTCCCGCCTCTGCATGCGTGTTATGTGTGTGTATGTGTGTTTTTACCCCTAGCGACATGGTCGGTCTTGACACACAGACACAGACCACTACTGAAGGCCTGGGGAGGCCGACCGGGTCTTCAGGGCTCCCGAAGGACACAAAGTAAAACCTCCTTGCGGCTTCTAGGTCCATCTGTTCGCATTTCGTACAGCACCCTATAACAGATGTACGTTACACATACACATACACATACACATACACGCTTTACACATGCACCACCAAGTGTGTGAGGTGTACAACTGACACATGTGCGGCATCATATGTTTTTTGGAAAACCGTAATGACACTGATCATACGGCGGAAGCTGTAGCTGTAGCTGGTGTGTGTGTGTGTGTGTGTGTGTGTGTTTGTGTACAGGTGGTGCAGATCTCGCTGTGGCAGCTGACTGGCCGCCGTTCGCGCGGTGCCGTACTTGGATTCCGCAGTAGCTTCCGCAGCAGCAGCATCCGCACAACCACCAAAACACACAAACGCACACCCAAACACACGCATACTCCCTGCCCTTCTCCCTGTTTCCCCCACCCCCCCACCCGCCCTTATCCTCACCCACCTCCTCCATAACCTCCACTCGCCGCTCGTAGTAGGCTTGAGAATCAATCACCATCGCCCTCCCGGGTTGGAAGTAGTGGTAGCGCCACGGGGCCATCATATAGTTGTACAGCCCGCTAATGAACAACACGTAATCCATGCTGTCCATGATGGGTCGGACCCACAGGTCGCGCCAGTTGTTGACCAAACACAACAGGTCTGTTGGGGGGCAGTCTGCCAGTCGCTCCAGGGCCGTCGACACGACTGGGTCTTTGCTGATCGCCAGGAAGAAGTTGGAGGCGAGCGTGTCGACGGTGTGGTCCAACCACTGGCCCTGAGGTGGGGTGGTGTGGCCATTGGGGGACGCGGTGGAGAGCGTGAGGGGTGGGGTGTGTGTGAGGGGTGGAGAGCGTGTGAGGAGAAGCGGAGGGTGGAGGGGAAGAATGGGAGGAGAGGGCTCGATAGGAAAGAATGGGAAGGTGACGTGATATGGGATCCGTAATTGGTCTGGTGAGAGAAGTTGAGCGGCGAAATTTTGTTCTCGGGCATTTTTTGTAACATTTTGGACCGCTGGCACGTAATAGTACTGCCAAGGTACAAGCCGTACAGCCGTACAGTCAAGTTATGTCTTACGAGACACCAAGTGCGCGTGCTTCTCACCCTCTACACACGTGCACCCTACATAACACAGCACTTGCCCAGGCTGCCCGTTGGACAACCTCACGTGACAATATACATATACCCCCCATGTTCGTACTCCCGTACAAGCCAGTCCCGTACCTTGGTCAGTACGTAATGGCGGTACAGCACTTCGACGCGCTCCACCGGCTCTCGCATCATCATGACGACCTTAGACAGTGGGCTCAGGAGTCTCAGGTAGATTGGCGCCATGACGGAGAAGGAGTAATCAGGGGTGGCGTCCAGGGTGAGTTGTTGGAGGCCCCGGGTGGCGAGACATTCTCGGAGAGTTTCGGTGGTGGTGTTGCTGCACGGGTGGTTCAGCTGCTGCAGATATTCAAAGTACAGCGCTCGCTGCGGCAGCAACCATGAGCCGATGACGCCGCCGCGGCCCAGCATCGCGGGCTCTTTTGCCGAGTCCACAGGAAACGGTGGCTCCACTCGGCCGGGGGCCTTGTTGACTGATTCATCCGTCAACTGTTTGAAGAGGTCCGTCTGTTGTACGCAACAGCGCAGAGGAAGTAAAAGGCGCGGTTGTAAATACAAGTTGATTATGTATTGCAGTCATGGCATGTTATCGGACTATGTGCGGGACCGCGAAGGCTGTGGTATGAGCGCTGCATGGCGTGCGCCGTTATCATGTTCGCCCAATAGGTACGCGTACCGTGCCGCCTTTTGCTGTTCCAATGATCAGGATCGTTGGTAAAGCGCCCGGTTGGTTTGGCTTGAACTCTCCATTGCCTTTAAGGGCAGATGCGAAGGCTATGGCCGTTGCGAATAAGGTCGCTAAGAACGCTCTGCGCCATTGCAATTTACGCTCCATCTTGTAAGGTTACCCCAACTAGGATGTCGTGTTAGCGTTCATATATTTTCATCCAGTTTTCAAGTTATTGACGGGCCGTACTTGCACGGCACGGCCCGCCCAAGTTAGTTATCGACGCATCAAACCATTAATTTATCGCAATATAACAAATAAGAATCCAACTGCACGGCTCTACTAATTTTGAACGAGGATGGGGGGTTGAACAAAATTTTGCCGCAGAACACCGATTTATTAAGATTGTCCCGCAGATAAAGATAATGACGCAATAGGATGGTAGTGAGGATTTGTTATTGCTAACTGGCGTCATTGTAAGTTGTCCGCATAAGTTATATTGCATCGTGGCCTTGTTGGCTTACAGTGATGGTGATGTATTATATATCACTCGCACTGAAACGAATAAGCAGCCGCAGGTAATGGGCTAGATGTTCAGGCAAGAAAGGTAATTATTTCCCCAAGCGCCCAGACCAAACCCCAAGGCAGTTGGCTTGAGCAAAATTTTCGATTGCTCCTTTAATGGTCGGCTGTGCTGATGGAATGCGACAGATATTTAGTCCGTGTGCAGTTTGCGCCGTGCCTCGCAACGTTTCTGGATTCGAAAAGCCAAATGGCAGGAATTAATTTGAAAGTGACGCAAACTGCTGATACATTGGCCGTCAAGGTTTTTCTTCTGCTAAGAAGCTAACCGCTGGAGCAGTGTCCCACTATGCACTGCGCTAGTTATGCAGCAGGGAGCTACCGGGGCCGGGAAAGTTTGAGGCTCCTTTTAGAGGCTCATCCAGCTTTTGTGAATAGATCAAAACTCATATTCTGTTGGTTCTTGAGGCGTTTGTGTATTGCTTCTCTATTGGCCTAGCACTCCAGGGTACCCCTCGCCAACGAGAATGAGCACCCTTGACCTGGGGGTTGAGAGCGTTCAGTAAGCACATAATCTTATCAAGAAAACGTGTCCTTAAGCAGACCGATGCGGCTACCGTGCTCTCCCTCAATCGGTCTGGCAGTCTCACAGTCTGGCAGCGAAACTGGATGACATCGAACTTCCGGTGCGGTCAAACTAGTGGTCGACCTAGCTAGATGACCAATGCATTCTTCATATGAAAGAATGTAAACAATCCTGTAAAAATTAGGAATCTTTTCCTGAACCGCTTATGAAACCATTGACATCGACGAAACAGCGAGTCGCAGCATCGCAACTCGACGTAGAAGGACGTGCTTCACCTGAAGGAGTTCAAGTTCGGGAAAGAAACCTTACACAAAACGAGTGTTGCACAAAGCAGTATGCCTGAGCCCGTTTTGGAAGGTCGTGTTTGTACAATAGTGAACCGGCAGCGGGAGACACCGTCCGCACATATATAAATAATACGTGTGAAATAGTATGTCTGTATCGCAGCATCGTGGAAATCAATACTTTGAAGTTTGAACCTGCGATTTTGCAAATCGCCTCGTTTCACGCCACTCTAAAATATGCAAATTGCAGCTTGCCACTCAAATGTTTGTTGCACATCCGCAAGTTATGTATGGGCTTCGGACCTTGCGAAAAGTGGACGGTGTGCGCATCGACAGCACCGTTTCATACCTCGCGCAACACGACAGGAGGAATAGGCCCTAACGAACCCAAACAAATACTCAATTTAAGCTTGCGCTACAGCAACGATTGCGCTACAGGTTAGGTGACTGTCAAAGTCTGTCCGTGTGCTGTTGGCCAACAGTTCTGTTGGCTAACAGTCCTCGAGGGATGAGGCAAGAAGCTCTGCCAACCACACGGCTTCGACGCTGCTCTGGTCCCAGAGAGCGCAAGGCTCTAAGAAAATGTACCTACCTGCACAACAAGGGACCCTGTGCAGTGGAGCCAGGTGTGCACTGCTACCTACAATACATGTCAGGCAAGGGATGGGAAAGGCCCTTCCCCCTCCTCTCTTCCATCCCCCCGTTACAAACGTGTACCACCATAACCACCACCACCACTTCTTTCTCTTTTGAACCCCACCTATTCTTTCACGTGCATCCAATTTGTAATACACCGCAGCACACAGCATGCGCCCCGCGCTCCCCGCCCCCACAAGATACAACGATTCCCACTCTCCACTCGAACAATCCAACATAGCCCCCCACACCCAGCAAAACACAACATACACACACACAGACATACACACACGCACACTCACACACACGCACACACACACACACACACACGCACACACGCACACACACAGACACACACACAGACACACAGACACACAGACACACACAGAGACACACACACAGACACACACAGACACACACAGACACACACACACGACCTACGTGTATCTGTGCCCGGGTCCCGCCTCACTCACCTTTGCCTCCCGTCCACCTCCCGACACGAACGAACCGCATCGCATCTACTGCCACCACTACAAGCTGTGTTATTATACCACCGTTAACTGTATTTGCCCTAATACGCTTCCAAGACAGCAGCCGACGCAGCAGCCCACCCTCTAAACACACAGGAAAGGAACAGCAACCACAGCAACCCTCAGTCATCTCCCCGGTCGTCCACCTCCTCGCCTGCGAATCAAACACGCCAAGGCAGGGGGAAGACCCGGCGGGCGGGCGGGCGGGCGGGCGGGTCAGTAAAGGCAATAAGGCCATAGAAGGGAAAGCGAGTTGGCAGAGAGAGGAAACGAGGCGGCAGAAACTTTTCCTTTTTCTCCGTTCTCCCCTTCCTTTCCTTCTTGAGCTTTCTGTTCTTACGTATGCTTACGTATTTTACTTCCTCTCGGGTACGGCATTCAGCACGGCATTGTCATATACAAGACGGTAGAAGGTAGACGTGACATGAAGACGTTGAGCAGCAGCATCAGCATCATCATCAGCAGCAGTTTTGTTCGATTCAGGATGTCCAGGAGGGGACGCAACATCCGTCCTAGAGAAAAAGCGGAACGACGTGCGGTGTAACTGACACACGGCCACACGGACTACAGAGAACTCGACAGAAAACTTCTCTCCCCCTCTCTCTCCCCGGCTGCTGCCACTCTTTTCCCCCCTTGTGCGCCCCCCTTCCTTATAGTTATTTTAGAACTATAAAACAGAGAGGAAGATGGGAAAGGAGAGAAAGAGGAAGAGAGAAAAAAGGAACCCTTTCTTCCCCCCTGTTGCAGACGCACAGCTGACTTCATGACGGAGCCAAGACCTTCCGCGGCGGCGACCCGACCCGACCCGACCCGACCCGACCCTGGCGTCATGTCGCGACTCTCACCCTCCGTGTCCGCGCCAGCAGCCGTTATCGCCCTCAAGGCGCCCCCCGCCGCCCCGCCCTTGCCCGAGCCGCCGACCCCACGGATCCAGCCACACGCCACCAACAGCTCGAAGATCCGAACAGAGCGGGCGGGATCCAAGCGGAAGAAGGTGCGGGCCTGGGGGTTGAGAGGAGGAGGAGGAGGAGACGGAGTAAGAGGCGGATCACCATCACCATCACCATCATCACCGCCGCCATTCATCTACCTGCTCAGTTTCGTCAGCCAACCACATAGATATGCCTAGTTGAATACCTCCACACACATACACTGGAGGGAGGGAGAAAAGGAGAGGGAGAGAGAAGTGGAGAAAAGTGAGAGAGGGAGGAAGGGAGGAAGGGAGAGCCACTCACATCTGCCTTTGTGATGGCTCCGTTCTTCTCACAGTCCCTTAGCAGCATGTCCTTGAGGGCCAGGTAGTGGCAGGGCAGCAGGCGCTGCGCCGCACACAGCTCCCTCTCCCTGGAGCCCAGCAGCTCCACCCCGGGCATGCAGGTGATGTCCAGAGGTACCCCCCGCTTGGCTCGCCACAGGGCCAGAGCGGCACCGGCACCGCGACCCATCGGGACTGTTGGATGCGGGGAGAACGGAGGTGGTGGTGGTGGGGGGAGGCCTTAAGGAGGTAAGGGTTGGGTTGGGTGGGGGAAAGACGAACCACGAACGAGTGAAGCTTGGGTGGGGGCAAGGAGAGCACAGGCTTTGCTGTTTGCTGAGCTCTCCTCGCAATTTCCTCTTGATTACTCATGGGGCCTAAGGGTGCTTGAGTATCAGTTTTTGGATAAAGGCATTCGGTTTCCGTCCCCCTGTTGTTTCCCCTATCCCCTATATTTTACTTAAGCTTAACCCTAAGTAGCTTAACTACGTTGTGACCCAGCAGTCTCAGGGCCTCTTCTTGCACACGTAACCCCATGCCCAGAGGTCGCCCTCCGTCCTGTAGCGTTGAGGGGGAAGAAAAACTACTGGCAGACGGTTGGATGTCGCATCTGTTCCGCTATGGGGAAAGCAGGCTTGCATTTTGATATATATATGTGTGGGAGATGGATTACCTAGCGGCGTGTGGCCCATCTAGCGATGCCAGCAAGAAGGTAAGAGTGGCGCACCGGAATATCACAATCCTTTTCTAAGCTCCGAAACCAGTTTATATCGTCATGGAGCCATGATGAGAGGCTGTCTGCAGTACCCCCTCACGATTTCCGTCGGACGGGGGGGAGCAACCCGGCATTGAAATACAAGCTAACTAAATACAAGTCCTGGATGGGGTCACCGTCGCAGGATTGGGGGGCGTAGATTGAAGTGGTGCGAAATGGTGAATGGTAAGGCGAAGGGTGGGAGGGGGTAAGGAAGGGGTATAGAGAAAGGATGTGGAGAGGGGGGGCCTGGCGGCGCGGCATAAGCCCCACCTGATGCCGCCGGCCGAGCCTGCTCGAAGGAAGATGACGTCACGGCGCCGCCGCCAGCGCCCGCCGTAGGCGTACCCGCCAGCGCCAGCTGAAGTCCGTCGTCGCCCAAAGGAGTGCCGTACCCCGGCTGCATCATGCCGCCTCCGGCGGCTGCCGCCGCCGCGGCGGCAGCGGCGGCAGCCGCCGCTGCCGCGGCGGCCCTAGCCTTCCCAGCGCCCCGCCCGGGCCCACTGTACGGCTGCCCATGCACTGCATTTGCCGCCGCAACAGCGGCGTCTGCCGCCGCCTTCTGGCGCCGCTTCTCAGTGTCGTACACCTGCTCCAGCAACAATCCAGCAGTACCGCTCATATCGCGCACACACGCATCATCATCATCATCACCTCACCTCACAGAGAGAGAAACATACGAGCAGCCGCTTCACCGGTCTTCGCAATCTTTTCCCCCCCCCTCTCTCTCTCTCTCTCCCTCACACACACACACACACAACCTCTCAGCCCCTCTATCGCTGCTCCTCCTCCCTCCACTCCCATACACAGCGGCCTCAGCGGGGGGGTAAAGACGAACCACAAACGAGTGGCTCAGCGGGGGGGGGTCCCCCGGGTCCGTCTCCCTCACCTCCCTCACTTCTACGTCTGGTACACTCTTGCCCTGGCAGCAACTTCACTCGTCCGTGGTTCGTCTTTCCCCCCCTCCCCTTCCCCCCTCCCCCTCCCCCCCCTTCCCCCCACCTCACCTCCGCGTCCACAAACGTCCGAATGCCGTTCCGGCGGTACTCCCGCAGCTCAGCAATGCGGGTGCGCATGCGGGCCTCGAGCAGCAGACCCTCCACAAGCTCGTCATGGGACGACTGGGACTGTGTGTGTGTGTGTGTGTGGTGGTGGGGGGGAAATATGGATAAGAGGAGGGAGATATGAAGGCCTCGATATATATATGTGTAAACAGCGAGGAAGAAACAACTGCCCTGAAGTCCAAAAAACACCAAACGCCGTAAGAGCCAAAAGCGGGTGAAGGAGGAGAGCGGGGGTTGGGAGGGTGCGGCCGTGTGACCGTGTCACAGGTGGTGAGGGGAACCATCAGACAGATTTTCCAAACAATCAAAGTTCTTCTACCTCCCAAATGTACGTCCTTTTTTCAAGTGAACTCTTACGAACTGTTGTGAACTTCTCACACGTACGGCGTAGGTACGGTATCGTACCGTGTGCCGTACCTGGTATCGTGCGAACACTCTCATTCTGGCGTACAGATCCCGTTCCTGTGTGTTTCGCCGCCTCTCCACCGCCTGAGCTGCACGGGTGTTGAGCAAACTGCGTTCCAACACAAAGGCACGCCGCCGCTCACGCTCGTCCAGCCGCCTGTACGGCGTGTTGTTGAGAGGGGGAGTATGTTCACAAAGACGTGACCCGCGGGCAGAAACTGGGAGAGTGCGTGTGCATGTGTGTTTTGCGCGTTGTGGTAGCGGGTAAAGCCGGGTGAAGGTGGTGGGGGGGGGGGGAAATGGGGTCGAGCCATTCCTGGGTGGGGGAGTGGAGAGAGGGGAAGGTACGCAGGAAGGGAAAGAGGGCAGGCAGGGCAGTAGTAGTAGAGAGGGCATCCGGGGGCCCCGCGCCACATGCCGAGGCCCCGCGAACCACACACGATTGAAGCTGCTGCCAGGGCAAGAGTGTATCAAACAGGGCAGGGGAGGGGGCATCCGGAGGCGCCGCGCCACATGCAGTGGTGGTGGCGGCGGCGGCGGCGGGGTGGCAGCGACCAGCCATTCCACCCCGGGGGTTTGACGAATGGGAGCGGACATATGGTGACAAACAGCCGCACAAGGCCTTTGGAAACAGACAGGACAGTAGTGGCACTAGCACCAGCACCAGCAGCGGCAGCAGCAGCAGTAGCAGTAGCAGCAGCACGCGCCGGGGAATTGCTGGTGAGGTGGTGGGATACTGACCCGCTGGAGTTGGGGTTGGGCTGAGAGTACGGCCAAAGACAGACGTCGCCAGGCGACCTCCGCCTCTCGCCCCACACCGCTCTGTGCCCCCTCCCCCGTCCTCCCTCTTACACGCTGGCGCACCAACCCATCCCCCCTTTACCTGTTGTACAACATCAACATCTGCAGCTTCAGTTGTACATCCGCCGGGTTGTCGTACTCGCTGAACTCCATATCCGCCACGATACACTCTGCGTCATTGTCGTACTCGGGGTCGAACTCCATGCGCTTGGGATGGAAGCCGGTAGCGTCGTACGACCCGCTTGGCTGCAGATCAGCAGGACAGAGAGATAAAGATATCAAGATCATGATGATGGCGATGATGATAACGATGTGGGGGAAGCGAGAAGGAAGCGGAGGGCGGCAGAAGTGGAGGGTGAAGCGAAAAAAAGGGGGGGGGGCCTAGGGGGAGAGTTGGGCTTGCGCCATCGCCCCCCTGCTCACGTGTGCTATCGTGTCTCACATGAACATTAACATAAACATAAACACACCTTGCCGTGACCAGAAGAAGGCTCCGCACCGCCGCCTCCACCGTCGTAACCACCACCTCCACCACCACCACCGCCCGCACCTGCACCACCGCGGGGCCCCTTGCCGCCCGTGTTCGGCACTGCCGCCGCCGCGGCCCCCGGCTCATGGTGCATGCTGCGGCCGCCGGTCTGTTTCCCCGGGCGTCGTGATGAGACAGTGAGGGGGCGAGGGAGAGGGGTAAGGGGGAAAAGATGAACCGCGAACGAGTAAAGCTGATGCCAAGGATAGAGGGAAGGCCGGAACACCCGCGGGGGGGAAGTAGCGGGCGGGCGGACGGGAAGGGAATATGGGGGGGGGGAAATATACGGGTGAGGAGACTTTGCCAGGGACAGACTTCTTTCTTATGCAGCTTCTTATTTGCATAGTTTGCCAGAGCAGCAAACATAGCACCATAGCTGTTGTTGTTGTTGTTACAGGGTGGTACAGCTTCACCAGTGGCCTCCTTCCCGAGGCAATTTCCTGTTGCAGAGGACGGCAGAGCGCAGAGTGGACCCCGGCCGCATGTCCGCATCTGAAGGCGCCCTCGTAACTTTATTTACCAAACAAAACCTGGAACCCACCTGCCCCCTTACCCCTCAACCCACCCCGGAGACATCACGATGGACATACAGACGTACCTAACCACCACCGCTACCACCAACCGCCCACAACCAGCCGCCAGAGGCCTTAGGCCGGGTCGGGTTCCTTTCCTCGTAGCTCTCCATCGTACAAACGCAGCGGGGCGTTAGTTGGCAGTTGTTACTCCGGCATTTTGCACCGGATTATTACCGGATAATTACCGGATCCCCCAACATCGCCTTCAAACGGCCCATCCCCATTCCCCATCCCCCTTCTCACCCCTCACCCCCCCCCGCGCGCACCTGCGCATGCGCCCCCCCGTCATGTACCTCCGCGCCGTGGCCCTCCGCCGCCGCCGCCAGCTGCTCGTGCCGGTGGCGCTTCATGCCCTTGTTACCCGCGGCCGCGTGACCGCCAGCTGCCGCCGCCGCCGCCGCCGGGGGATCCGTACCGTCCAGAAGACCACCACCTGCCCAAGAGACGTCGTACATTATAAAAAAACACCACCAGCAGCAGCAGCAGCAAGCCCTAGACAATGCTCCCGGGCAATGCTCCCGGGCGAAGCCCACATCCCCCCCCACTCGCCCTGCCCTCGGACATAAACCACATCATCAGCTGATAGCTATCCTGCAGGTAAGAGTGCGATTTCCTTCTCTTCCCACACTTTACCTCCCCACTGATTGCACCCAACTCCCTCTACCAGGATGAAAATGATGATTCCCCCTACCCCCCGAACCACCTCCCTCCCGGTCAAGACTTGGCATATTTCACATTTCACTCCCCCTGCTTAACCCCCTCGGTCCTACCTGTCTCCCTACCTACCTCCCTCCCTCCCCCCTTGCCTCGAGAGCCGTCTTTCCCCCCCTTCGCTGTCCAACAGTGGCCCTACCCAACCCCACCTGCCGCCGGTGTGGCCGCATCCGCGGGGCGCTCCCCGTCCTCCAAGTTCCCGTCCAGGGAGGGTGACGTGGCCGCGGCGGCGGCGGCGGCCGCAGAGCCGCCAGCCCCCCCCGCCACCGGCGGTTCGCTACGGGTCTGAGGATCCCCTATAGTGCCGTGGAACTGACTGCGAGCGTAACCCTGGCGAGCCCGGGCGATACACTCCGAAATGTCCACCTGCAAAGCAAAGAAGGACAGATCAGGCGCGGGCGGGCGGGCGGGCGGACAGATCAGATAAGACCACAAACCCGTGGGGGGCCCCCACACACGTGTATTCTTCCCGGGCCCCCCTCTCTCTCTCCCCATTAGTTTCGGACTTTGGACGCCTATTTCTGATTTCCTTGGCTATGGTTCCCGGTTCCCCCTCCTCATCCTCCCATCCCCACCTGGGCCATCTCCGGCGTGGGCCTGGGTAGCGGCATCATGTCATGGTCAATGTACACCGCGAAGTAGTGCTGACGGCACTGAGCGGGGTTCTTGCCACCTACGTGCTCCGAAACCCCCGGCCAGTTACCCAGACCTATACACGCGAGGGCAGGGCCGAAAGGAAGGGAGGGCGACAGGGGCCCGAGGGGGGTGGGTGGGGAATTACATGATGGTGCAAGAAACGCAGGGAAATGACCTGCCACGACGTGTCAGGGTTGAGGGTTAAGGCGCACCACTGGCGAATGGAGCAGATACCAAAGACGGGCAGTCCAGGGGAGGGGGGGAAGCTGTATTCCCCCATAGGGGTTAGGGATCGCTTGCAGGACGAGGCACACCAGGGTTGTTGGAGATGAGGTGGGGTTGGACGAGGGACGGAAGTAAAAAGGGGAGTGTGTCCAAGGACACGCGAAGAGGACACCGTCCCATCAGACGGGGCCCCTCAAGAGCTATATGCGGTCGGATACGCTTCTGTACACGCTGCGCGCAGCGTAGGTAGTCATGGCAATCGTGGCGAGGAGATGCGGCCCTCGCGCATGTGTTTTCGTGGTTCGTCTTTCCTACCTCCCACCAACACCCTAACCCCTTTCCCCCGGGGGCTCACCCTCAGGCCTCAGCCATCCCTCCCCATACTCACCATAAATGTCAATCGCCTCCAGTAACAAGATCTCCTCATCCGCCTGACAGCAGGGCGGGGGGGAAACAGGGAGGGAGGACACTTACTGTCCATGGTCCGTCAACGACACGTGGAGGCGGCGGGGTACACGGGCGCATATAATACACAATGCGGCCGCGTGTGCACAGACCACCTTGCCAACCCATAGCAGCCACCCTTAACAACTCTATCTCGATTCATCGTACACACACTCCGCAGCCCGGCAACCCGGCAATCCACACATAAAAACACATGCATAAAGCACACATCAAACCTTTTTAAATCCATATCAATAAGGAAAGACGCCCCAAGGTATTCCCATCCTCACTCCTCCGTGGTCGCAGCGGTTCTACCCCCTTCCCTTGCCTTGCCTTCCCTTCCCCCTCGCCTCGCCTCGCTCGCAGAACTTAGGAGATAGCCGGCAACCCCCTTCGTTTGCCCCGATTTGTTTGCAAGTTGTTTCCTCCTCCGAAACCCCAGCCCAGAGCCCCCACGCTCCTCAGTTCACCTCCCTGCTCCCCAAGCCGAAGAACGCGCGCAGGCGTTTACCCCCACCCTTCCCGCCAGGGCCTGCCCCCCACACACAGCTGGTAAGTTTGGATGATGACTGGCTCTTTCATCCCCCCAGGTTCGAGACCTTACCCCCCAGTCGGGATGGTAGATTGGGAAGGAGAGGTTCTCCACCACCTGGTAGTCGTGTGTGTTTTTGTGGGGCTTGATCTCTACACCTGGGGGGTTAGAGGAAGGGGGAAGGGGGGCCCGGCGCGGGTGAGGGGTCTAGGAAAGGTAGATGACCCCCGAACGCGGGGCCCCCTCCATACACCCATACACACGCACAACGTTTTCTCACGACTTAATCAACCTGTATGTATTTCTTGCGGCTCAGTTTATTAAAACACACTTGCCCACGTGCCGGTAAGGGGGAACCACGTGCGGGGGACTCCAATTAAAGATAGAGACGTTTCCAACCCTCCGCCCAAAGTCCTCGACAGAATAATGGACGCCCCTGCCGTCCCCTTCTGTACCCTTCCCAGCGATGCTGTATTCCACATCCTGATAGCACAGATCACTTGCCTACTGAGAAGCATTCCAGGCAAAGGTCGAAGTCTTTGCACTCTGCGCACTTGATGCGCGGTACGTGCGATATGTCCTTTTGGCAGTAATTACAATGGTAGAGCGCCCTGGCAGTTTCGGGAAATTGTCCAGTTTAAGGTGTTCAAGCGCGCATTAAAACGCAGGAGGCTCGGGCCTAACCTGCGCGCATCTTGTATCGTCCTGTTGAGGACTCCGTCTCGCAGTTTCCTCCGTTTTCCCCTGGAAAGGCATTCCCGTGCTTAAGTGACGGTCGCGAGACCAGGACCGAACTCTAGCGCTGCGTACCTCCCGCCTAAGGATTCCTGAAGCGTCATGGTACAGTATGGTCGACGTAAGAAATTTTCATGCGTCTAAACTTATGCGAAAGAGAAAGCCTTTTGAACGCCGTGCGTGGTCGATAAACGAGTATAACACTGACAAAAGAAATATTAAGACGGAAATAAGCTATCGTAGCGAAAAAAGATTAAGTTTTGGATGTTTATTTCCCCATACACAAGTTCCTGCTGGGAAGAGAAGAACCAATTTGGAGCCGGCGCGAGAGTCAATCAACCATCGCCTGACGCAACCACATAGGTGCACTGGCTGTCGCTCGACACCTGAATAGGATTAAAGGTGACCATCGATGGCGATACCAGAGTCCGCACGCGCAGTTGTCAGCGCGGTCGCGGCCTCGCTGGGGCCGGCACCGCCAGACAATCCGGATGCAGCAAGGAGAGTCACGGAGCTTCGTGAAGAATATAATCGGCGTTATGAACAAGAGATGCGTTCATCGGTGAGCGGCAGCCAACTTCCCTCGCTTCATGGCCTGCTGGCGCGACTTTAATATTCTCCACCCCAGCTGGGATAGCTCGGATTCCTTCCTTACAAGTGTTCAAGTATTCCACCGACACAGTACTAAACAACAACAGGGTCGCCCTGGGCCCCGGCTCCATCGTAACCACAGGTCAAGCGACCAGGCCTCAACATGATATTGCCCAAGGAGGTGGTCAAAGGCGAGGCTGTGCCCATCTTTGGCCACGTTCCTGGGGTAAAGCCGGGCGCAAAATTTAAGGACCGTGGCCAGCTTTTTGTCACGGGAGTACACGCCACACTTATGAAGGGGATCCACGCGCCGTAAGTGCCGTACATCCCTTACTACCCTAACCCACCTGCCCACTCCTTCCCCATCCCTCAACGGCTTGTTGGCTCCTATCCATAGACTCATGTTTAAGGAAACAGTAGGTTCGGAAAATCGCGCACATAATCGCACAGACATATCCGCAGGTTTCTGCACTTCGAGCTCGCGAACTGTATTTCGCGTGCCTTGCTTGCTGGATGCACCTCCGAAACCCACGGTTGAAACAATAGAGTTCGGGAACCTCACCTTGTTAATATATTATATTGTTTTTCGACATCTCTCCTCTCTCCACAACAACATCAACACCAACACCAGCACCACCTCATTCACACACGCACACACAGCGACTTGCTTGATAGGTTTACAGTCCCCACACAGCGCCAACTCCCTTCCTCCTCCTCTTCCCGACCCCGTCCTTTCCCCGATCGATCTGGGCCAATCTGGTCGTGATTGATCCGATCGTCCTAATCGCCAGCTCACTCATCCTATACTTTCCAAACCGCACATTGCCTTCACTCGTCTCCAAACGTAACGTCATGTTTGGTTCCGTTTTAGAAGGCCGACGGTTACCGTTTAACCAACCTCCCCCCTCCTCCCCCAGCCGTCCAGCTGCTGCTGGGCTCGCCTGCTTCTGTTCGCTCCTCTCCAGCCCCGGCCCCACCTAATATCGCCTTTCCCCACAGCAGCGCCGCCTCCGGTTATTTCCACAGCGGCCCTTAGACAGCATAACCCTTCTAATACCAACATCTACTTGTGAATATTGAACCTATGTCCAGCAAAACACACAAAAACACACAATGAACCTATGTCCAGCAAAACACACAAAAACACACAATGAACCTATGTCCAGCAATAACACACAAAAACACACAAAAACACACAAGCTACGTTGAGCTGTAGCTTCATTGTAAAATATTATCCTACCTCACGTCGCTGGTGACTACTATTCGGAGGTGTCGATTGGTGCGTTATTAAGTTATATATATATTCGTGTACCATTCTTCGTGTACGATTTCCGTCTTATCGCGGCTCCGGAGATCATCCTGAACACGCATACATAAACACACAAGCACACCCGCGTTCTTTTTGGCACACACCCACACGAAACCACACACGAAACCACACACACACACACACCCCTCCCTTCAGGTCCACCAAACATCCCGACTTCGCCAAGGGCGCCTACAGCGTTGTTATGAGTGGCGGTTACGTGGATGACGAGGACATGGGCGAGAGCTTCTGGTACACGGGGGAGGGCGGAATAGATGCGTCCAGCAAGCGACAGGTGTGCGCGCATCCATGTATGTATCTATGTATATGTCTGTGTACGTATCTGTGTACGTGTGTGTTTTAAAAACAACGAGAACCAGCGAGAACAAAGTGCTCCGGGCCCTCCAAGCGTCCCCGTTCGTGGATGTGTGTGCGTGTGTGTTTTTGGAAGTTACCGAGCACCCCCACCCCGATCTCCACCACCGGTCAGTTCTACGTCTGGTACACTTTTGCCCTGGCAGCAGCTTCACTCGTGTGTGGTTCGTCTTTCCCCATCTCACCATCTCCACCCCCCCGTCGCCTCAACAGGTCAGGGACCAGTCTATGGAGCGCGGTGCCAATGCGGCCCTGCGGAACAACTGCAACTCGCGGACCCCAGTGCGGGTCGTCCGGGGCTTCGTTAGCGCAGCAGCAGCAGCAGCAGGAGGAGGAGGAGGAGGAGGAGGAGGAGGGGGCAACACTGCGACTGGAGCTGGAGGGAGCGCCGCGGGGGCGGCGGCGGGGGGGGGAGGAGCTGCACCTGCACCAGCTGCGGCGAACGGAAGTGGAGGGGGAGGTGGCGTAGGGAAGAAGGAGAAAGGATTCGTGTACGAGGGTCTGTATGTCGTACTGCAGTACAAAACGGAGGTACGGCGCGGGGTTTTTGGGGGGGATGAAGAGGGGATGGCAATCTTCTTCACTCTGCTCAAGTTCGTGTGCTTTCAACCGCCTGTGTGCATTACCTTCTCCACCGCCACCAACACCAACACCACCGCTGACCTGACCTTATATCCCTCAGACTGACTGACTGCTTCCTCTTTGTAAACGTCGTTTGCTTGCTTGCTTGCTCGAGCGCGCATTTCCCCCCACCACCACCAGAGCCTGGTGCCGCCCGCCCTCCCTTTACCCTTACCTTTACCTTTACCCTCACCCCTTGAATAATACCGCTATCGTGAAGGCCCCCTCAGCCCCCGCAGCCGACCGAGCTACTCACTCACTGTGCTAGCTGACGGCTCCCAGGCTGTCCTTCTTCACACGGTCCATGACCTCGTTACCCCCTCTCCTCTCTCTCTCTCTCTCTCTCCTGGATTTCCGCCGGCACCGCTACTTTCATTCATTTTGGCCCGGGAGGGGGGGGCACCACGGGCAACAACAAATCTGCGGAATATCCCTCACGGGGGCAACAACAAATCCCCGGCCTCTTATGGTACTTTTTGCGCTTTTCGCCGCCCTTAACCCTTAAATTTGGAATGCTACGGATGTTTCTTCTGCTTTCGTTCGCATTTTGTTCGCATAGTGTCGGCGGCTAGGAAGGTAGTTTTCCGCTATCGCCATTTGACTACTACTACTACTAACATCATCGCGAAGACTTTCCCTCCTCCTCCTTCGTCTCATGCCGCGCGACTGGTTAGTTAAACGTTGCTTCTTACGTAATTTAGTGGCGTGTCAGAGTCTATATACTGCTTGGGGGGGGCAACAGCTTCACTCGTTCACGTGGTTCGTGGACTCCCCCCCCCCTGCTTCTCTTTCCTCAACTTCGTCCCCTCCCTAGCTTGGGACGTCGGTAGTCGTCTCCTTGACTTGGCACATACTTTCCCCCTTTTGTCCCCCTTTTCAGCCCCATCTGCCCCAGCAGCAGCACTCTTTCCTTGGCAGCAGCTTCACTCGCTCACTTCGTGGTTCACGTCTTTTCCCCCCTCGTTTCCCCCCCCCCCAAAGTTTTGGACTTTAGACGCCGGCAGCTCATTTCCGATTTCCTTGCAAATGGCATAGTTCTCCCCCTCCCCCCCCCCACACACACTCACACCACTGTGGTTCCTCTTACCACTCCCCCCTCCCTCCCAGTGGTTCGTCTTACCCCCCCTCTCTCCCTCCCCCCCTCCCCCCTCCCCCACCTTGCCGGGCCCCCCCCCTCCCCAGCCCTCCAAGGACGGTCCGCTGGTGTGCAAGTTCCTGCTGCAGGGGGTCCCGGGACATAGCACCGTGAACACCAAGGTGGAGTTCGGGTGAGTGTGTATGTGCGTGTATGTATGTGCGTATGTATGTATGTATGTGGGTAGGAAAAGTGGGGCTGAGGGGGGAAAAGACGTGAACCACGAAGTGAGCGAGTGAAGCTGCTGCCAAGGAAACAGTGCTGCTGCGGCAGAGAGGGCTGAAAAGGGGGGTTTGGTACGACGAAGCACCGACGATCGACGAAAAGGTGTGTGTGAAGTACATTACATGCAAAATGTGAAGGATCACCTGTGGACGTCCAGAGCGCTTTTGGGTGGATGGGTGGTAGTGGATGGGTCTTCCTCCTCCTCCTCCTCCTCCTCCCCCTTCTTACCGTTTCAAGGGAGTCTTGGAAGGAGGGGCAGGGGCTGGGAGGCTGGTCGGGTCGAGTTGTCACTCTCACCTCCGCTGCCGCTGCTGCTGCCGCTACCCCCCCTCACCATAACCCACGCACACGTTTCTCCACACACACACACAGCAGCAGCAGCAGCATTCGCCCCCTGCCAGTGCCAGGCCCGGTCAGATATTTGTAACCTACACACACACACACACACACACACACACACACACACGCCCCCCAAATCCCACCCTTTCCGCCCCTTTACCCTTCCCCCCCCTCCCTCGCCCACATCCATACATAAACATACATACATGCACACACATACACGTAGCATCTTCGGCGGTGCATCCAGTCACAGACTTCTTCACGCCCGGCATCTGGCTCTAAAGAGGGGGGGGGCATCCGCCCAGCCACCGGCGAAACGTAGCCGCGTGGAGAAGGACCGCAGAGCCCTGGAGGTGGCGAGGAATGTGAGTAGGGGGTGGGGGGGATGGGAGTGAAAGCCGGAAGGGGGGGGAAGGGGGGGTATGAAAGGGGGGAAACATAACTCGGGGCGGCTTCGGCGGTACGGAGTACGAACCCCCGCCAGCTGCATTGGTGCCGTACACGCGTCGGCAGTTGAATCCTTTTGTCTCCTGCATCCTGCATGGTTAGAACCCCCCCCCACACACACACACACACGTACACATACACACACGCACGCACACGCGCCATACCCCTCCCCCACGGGTCAGTCTCTTGCATGTTGTCATTCCACATTATTGGTCTAATCTTGGAGTTCCTCTTCTTCGTCAATCGTCTGTGCTGCATCGTACACCCACCTCCCCTCCCTCTTTCGCCCCAACCCTCCCCCTCCTTTCCCCCCTCCTCACCCACCCTTCCCAAACCCTTTCCCCCCCCGGCCCTCCCCGCCCCCCGCCCCGCCCCCAGGTGATGTTGTCGGATATCCGTCGGCGCTATCAGGGGTCCCGCACCCTGCTCAGTGAGGACATCACCGGCGGCAGGGAGCCCGTACCCATACCGCTGGTCAATGAGGTGTGTATGTGTGTGTATGTGTGCGTATATGTATGTATGTATGTATGTATGTATGTATGTATGTATGACTTAGATTTCACTGTGGGCCGCGAGAGCCGGGGGCCGAAGCCGAGGGTCACACAGCGCAAGGGTCGGGAGCACACAGCACAAGTCGGTTAGTCTTGTTTGCTCCCGACCCTGACTCAGACTGCCAACACACTACGCAGCCACTCCGTACGATTACCGTACTGTTGTCGTTTCTGAACCTCGACTTGCATTTTTTAAAACACAAACACATACATACGCACATACTCCCAAGACCACCACCACCACCACCACAACCCCATGTAGAATATGGAATCAGCAGACTCTCACCCATCCTCTATCGCATTGTGCCCCGCATTGTATGAGCACGGGCCTTCTCCCCTCCTCCACACCCACCACCCACCCACCCCTTGGCGGCCTTTTTTTTCATTGCTGCTTGCATGATCATATGATTTCCCCCCTTTCCCTCTTCCCCCTTTCCCCCTTCCCCCCCTTTCCCCCTCCCCCCTTAACTTCCCCGCTCATTATTTTCGACAGGTCAACGACGTGACGTTGCCCGCAGATTTCGAATACATCCGGGAGAACGTCTGGGCGCCCGGGGTGTACGAACTGGTGAGTTGTACGACAGTACGTCAAGAGTACGGCAATGGGGAAAAGACTGGCTGGTTGGCAGGTGGTTAGATGAGGTGAAAGAGGGAGAGGGGGCTGAGTTTATTTTATGTAAGTAGTGCTGTCGTACATGGATACACGGTTTGTCACACATGCATGGGCCCTTTCGCCGTAGTGGGGGTTGGGGGGGAGCTGGTTGGGTTGTTGGGGGGGGGGCGGGGGCGGGGGCGCTCTCCTTGCGGAGCATAGCTTTTGGGGTTGTGAATGTGTATGTAATGTGCTGTTACATACATGTATGTATGTGTGTATGTGTGTATGTGCAGGAGGCCAAGCCTTGACCTCCGTATCTCCCCCTTCATGCCCGCCATCCCCCCCAGTTCTGCTTCTTGTACACTCTTTCCCCCCCATCCTCCCCCCTTGTTCGTGGTTCGTCTTTCCCCCTCATCCCCCCCTTCGCCACGCGCACCAAGACCGATACCATTGATACCAACTCCCTACTCAACCAAATCACATCGTCCTTCGTACGTCAGTGTCTTCCGCCAACCCTCCTCCCCTTCCTCCTCCTCCGCACACTGCCCCCCGACTGCCGTACAGGTAGCCCCGATCCTCAAGTTTATGGACGAAGAGATGTCGGGTTTTACCCGGGGGGAAGTGCCGTACGGTGCTGGCACCGAGGGGGGGGAAACCCAAACGTGCGGTCTGGCCTTCAACCGGCGGATCGCGGAGAAGGACCGGGAGCTTGGGGACAAGCTGCCGCAGGGGTGAGTGTGTGTGTGTATGTGTGTGTATTTGCCTTGGTGGCTTGAGCGGGGTAACGGGGGGGAATCACGGATGAGTGGAGCTGATGCCTAATGAGTGTGAGGGAGGTGTATGATGGTGTGGGTGATGGTAGTGGGAAAGGAGCGCGCGCGTGTTCGTGGGTGAATTTGGGTTTTAGATTTTAGTTCCTGGGCTGTGGGGAAGGGGGGGACAATGAGAGGGGGTGTTAGGGAGGGGTTATGTATGTGTATGATTGTATGTATGTATGTATGTATGCATGTATATATGTATGCATCTATGTGTGTACGTGTGCACGTGTGTGTGCGGGTTTTAGGGGGTTAATACGGCTCGGGACCTTCTAGGGGTTTGGGGAAGATATCCCGGGGGGTGAGGGGGGTTGAAGGGGAGCCACGAGTGTGAAAATGGGGTGGTGGTTGGTGTGTATGTATGTATGTATGGCCATCGCGGCCATGTTGAAAGGGGCTGAGACCTTTTCATCCGTACACATTTAACCCGTACACAACGATTACATTGGGGGCCGCATTGTTGGAAAGAGCCCAGGTGGGATAGCTCTTCCTTTGTGTTTTTGGGGTGTGCCTTGCGAACGTGTGTGTGTTTCCCCCTCCCCCTCCATCTTTCGACCCCCTGTACGGCAGGTACGAGCCCCACCTGGAAGAGCAGTACAATACGGATGGGTGTCTGATCGTGACGGACCCGTGTGGTTTGCACGAGTGCGGTGCTAAGTGCAAGTCCGCCAAGTGCCAACGGAACAAGCAGGTGTGTGTGTGTGTGTGTGTGTGTGTGTGTGTGTGTGTGTGTGTGTGTGTGTGTGTGTGTGTGTGTGTGTGTGTGTGTGTGTGTGTGTGTGTGTGTGTGTGTGTGTGTGTGTGTGCGTGCGTCTCATGCCGCGCGACTGGTTAGTTAAACGTTGCTTCTTACGTAATTCAGTGGCGTGTCAGAGTCTATATACTGCTTGGGGGGGGGGCCAACAGCTTCACTCGTTCACGTGGTTCGTGGACTCCCCCCCCGCTGCTTCTCTTTCCTCAACTTCGTCTCCTCCCTAGCTTGGGACGTCGGTAGTCGTCTCCTTGACTTGGCACATACTTTCCCCCTTTTGTCCCCCCTTTCAGCCCCATCTGCCGCAGCAGCAGCAGCACTCTTTCCTTGGCAGCAGCTTCACTCGTTCCCTCTCTCCCCCACTGCCAACTCCTCCCTACACTCTTTCCCCCTACTCCCCCCCCCCACTCCCACACTTTTCGTTTGCTACTTTCTTGCCCTGGCAGCAGCTTCAATCGTGTGTGGTTCGTCTTTCCCCCCCACTCCCCCCCACTTTCC